TTCTATAGGAAAACTATTGAAGGATGCAGGAAGCATCAAAAGAAGATGAAAAGAACTCACTGAGTCACTGTACCAAAAAGAATCCACTGATATTCAATCATTTCAATAGATAGCATATGTTTTCAGTGTGTGTGTGTGGGGGGGGCACATATTCTGATGCCTGTTGCCTGGTCCTGGTGACACCTCATGATCGCAGTCTGGTATGCTTCTTCTGTATGGGCTTGTTGCTTCTCTGCTATATGGCCACTAGATTAACTTCCAGCCTTTAAGACCCCAGATACTATATCTTTTGATAGCTGGACACCATCTACTTTCTTCATCACATTTGCTTATGCACCCATTTTGTCTTCAGTGATTGTGCTAGGAGGGTGAGCACCACAGAATGCCAGGTTGTTTGAACAAAGTGTTCTTGAGTCAAGGGAGGGTATGAGTAGAGGTCCAAAGTCCATCTACTAACTCAGTGTATTGCCATATAAATATATATATACATGGGCCAATGCCTCTACTTTTATTAACTAATTTATTTACATATGGACACACCTATGCTTATATCTCTATCCATAACTTTGCTTCCTAGATCATTCCCATGTTTCCTTTTACCTTCCTCCTGCTCCACCATCATGCTTGCCCTATTTTTGTCTCAGTAATTCCTCTCAGCTAGATTGCTGTTACTCCAACACCCCCCAGAATCTCTACCTCCTCCTTGTTGTCAGAACAGAGACCCAAAGCCCATTTGTTGACAACTTGTCATTCCCTCAGAGAAGTGTCACAGGGAAGGGGTTAGTCAACCAGGGTTCAGTAAAGCACCAATGAAACACACACAATATTCCTTTGATTCCTTGAGGCTTCCTCACGCCCCACCATCATAACCCCAGTACTGCCTTTCACATTGGGCTAGACGGGAGCATGTGCACAGGTACAGATAAGAGATAAAAGCTCATGATACATGGAATCTGGGAACAGGAATGGGAATAGCAACACTAGAAGGACAGGGGGAAGGTGGGAAGAGGAGGGGAGAAAAAGGGAACCAATCACAATGATTGACCCATAATACACAAACAAACAACAGAAACTGTGGGGGAAGGGAGATAGCAGTCAGTGTAAGATATGAAAATAATAATAATCTTTAATTTATCAAGATGTCATGAAGGTGGTGGGGGGTGAAGTTGAGCTGATACTAAGGACTCAATAGAAAGTAAATGTCTAAAAAATAATGATAGCAACATATGTACAAATATGCTTGATACAATTGATATATGAATTGTTATGTGAGATGTAAGAGCCCCCCCCAAATAAAGTGATCTTTTAATAAAGAAAAAAGTAGCATATGAACAAGAATCAGTTGTACTGAATGAAGAAGTCCAAACTGTACTGAAAACATTAGACATAAAAAGGGCTCCAGGGATTGATGGAATACCAATTGAAATGTTTCAACAAGCTGATGCAGTACTGGAAGCGCTCACTTATCTAGGCCAAGAAATTTGGAAGACAGTTATGTGGCCAACTGATTGATATAAAATATACTTATACCAATTCTAAGCAAAGCTTACCCAACAGAATGCCAAAATTATAGAACAGTATCATTTATATCACACAGAGTAAAACTTTGCTGAAGGTTATCTGTGTTAGTCTGAGTACTTTAGAGAAACAAATCCACAGAAACTCATGTATAAGCGAGAGTTTTATATAAAGGTTAAATGTGCATCAAGAAAACATCCCAACCCAGTACAGCCCAAGCCCACAAGTCCAACATTAACCCATATGTCCAACACAAAGTCTCCTCCAT